TGACATTTCCACGCCAGCAATAAAACTAACGCTGACAATTATTCCTATGAATGAAAGTTGAATTTGGTTTCCTTAAGTTGGTAAATGCTGATTTGATTTGAAAAATAAAATTTGATGCTTCATAATTTAAAATCTCGTCAAAGCCAACAGCAGATTAGTATACAAAAATCAACTCCCCCTGGTGCAGCTCGGTCGCTAAGACTCGCTGTGTTCACTTCAAATCTATAAAATATCATTTTAGGATCAAACTGAATATTTTAATAACTCACAGGCCATATAATGGAATCCAATATTTATTTAAGAAGCTTTTTTAAACCAAAGGAACGATCCTCACAGTTGTTTCCACTTGAAAGTATTATCTTAAAATTTAGACAGTCCTTTTTTTAGGAGAGCATTCTTACCTTAAGCTCAAATATAATAAATTTTGCGAGCTTTTTTTTTCTTCTTCTTTTTTTTTTTCTTCTTCTTTTTTTTTTTTTTTTTTTTTGAAAATGGGAACGAGTGAAATAATATCGGTATTAGTGGTTGGTCTGCGGGTGCGTGAACACGTTGAACTGATGGATAGTGCGATCAATTGAATGGGCTTCCGTCTATTCTCATTTTTCATCATTGTCAATCATTCCATCCATTCGCGAACGAAGCAACACTTGGCTTTTTGAAATGGGTGGGCACAGTTCATCACTGAAGATGGCGTGAAGCCAAAACACGACCGGGTGAATGTAAAAGAGCGAGAATAGGCGGACCAGTCAAATGAGCCTGTTTTTTATGTTTTTTGAAATTTTGATAGACGTACTTAGGCAGTTTTTTGTTATTTATGCGGATCTACTCTTATTGATTTTGGTCCCGGTGGTAATAAACTGATCCAGATTATTTGGTTCATTTGGAAAGGCAAAACTCGGCATAGGGTGTCTTAAGGTCATGGATTGATTCAAAAACGTGTTTATTATAGTTTATATGAAAATAAAATAAAAAAGGAGAGGGATTCTGTTTGGAATGCTTCCAGAGAATTTATTTATTCTTTTTTTTTTAAGGAGGATCAATCGTCGGGCCCAAGTCCGAAGTGTACGTGGTGATTCGGGTCCGCCGCGTCTCGCCCTGTCGAAAAATGCCCCCGGGTGAAAATGGTGAAAATCGAGTTGGACGTCGAGCGGAGGAAAAGGCTGTTGAGGCCGTGGGGCGGTAACGGGTAGAACCGGCAACCTCTGCCGACGTTGCCGTTATCGCCGGGGCGGTTTGGCAACGGGGCCCGGGCTCCTTCTCTTCTCTTCCCTTCCATGCCCTGCCGTTCCGTTCTATCTGCATAAGGAGTGCAATTTGCCTCGCGCCTCGGCACGTCCTGGCCTTTTTTCTATCTTTTTTTTTTCGAAAAATTAGAGAGAAAAAATCCACCGTGAAAAACCCCCCCAGGGTGGTTTTTTGTTTTTGTTTTTTTGAACAAGGGGCGAAGGGGAAAACGCTAAACCCGCATGACGGCCGGGCACGCACGGAATTTTCCTCAGGCCGACTTGAGTTCAAATGGAATTCCAATTTGATGAAAACCATTTATCCCAATATTAAATCAAGCTTGGGGTTACTGAAATCTAAAATTTCATACCTCAATGTTAAAAAATAATATCATTTTTTCATAACTACTTTTTACACCATCACGGTATGGTATGGTAATGAGGATACTAGGAAGCGGGGTTTGTGCTCCCCAGGCACGTATACCATCATACAACAACATTTCACAAAAATCCGCACTATTTTAACAAAATTATTGCTTCGAAATTAATAAAATATCCCAGGAGATAATACGCGATTTGAACACGTCATCAGCGTTTCATAAGTCGTGAACAAGGCAACACAGCGAGACCAAACGGACCGGACTCGATTGAATCGTTTAAAACTTGTATTATTCTTTTTAAAAAAGGTGTCACATATATAATAAATGCGAAAAAGATAGAAAAAGAGTTCAATTAATAATAAGACATGTTTACTTGTTAGAATTATCAAAGTAAATCGGCTCTAGTCAAGCCGATATGTATATAACTGTGTATATAACAGTGTATAACTGAATTTTTTTTTGTCTGAAAGAATATTTCTTGCACAATTTGATTTGCGTTTGAAATGTCCACATTCATTTAATCTAAGAAAGTTACCCGCATATGTGTGATTTGGATATTTGCTTACTCTGCACCCTTTTTGTTTGGTTTTTAAATCTTGTTTAAATCCTAGCGGATAAAATACGGCATAAATCGCAGATTATCGTTTTTATATCTGTCATTAACTGCTACAAATACAGTAAAATTTCTATTTTTTTAATGTCCTTATGAACTTTGTATATTACCCAAGGAACGTTATATCTCATACGCGATGCGTTTTTTTTTTTTCGTGGGAGGGGAAGGGTTGCGTGAAAAAAGGGCCAGGGGCGACGGTGGGAATCGAACCCGCGACCGCGGGGTCTAAGAGTCTAGAGTCACGCTGACCATTCGACTACTGCAGTATTATTAATTTTTTCTCACTCCATTTTTTCCTTGTACCCCGTCGAAATTGTGCATAGGGAACCAACAATATGATCGGAAATTGCCTGTTTATCAAAATACAAAAACGGTACTACATAGTTAATCAGAAAGAATGGTCCAGGAAACCGTGGACAATACGTCCCCGTGTGGTACGGGATCTGAAATCATCACCTAATCGCGATTTAGGAGAAATAATGTTACTGCGACAAAGATATAGCGAGGAGTGGGACAGAAAGGGTGATATTACGGTTACGACAATATCGTCAATTGTCATGGGCGAAGAATTAAAAAAAGATATTACGACAAAAACAATTTGGATGGGGGAAAGAATAATTTTACGGTTAAAACAGCAGGGTTGGGTGTATAAAACGATATTACTACAAAGACTACGAGTTGGTAGGGAATTTTTTTAACTTTATTGCAAGGTGATACGACAAAAAGAAAGGTTTTGCAGAACTAATCGACTAATAGGTGATACAAAAATCATCATAACAAAGACAATTGCTAGGAGAGGGGACAGAAAGAATGATTTTACGGTTAAGACAAAATTTGGGTTGCGTGAAAAAAGGGCCAGGGGCGACGGTGGGAATCGAACCCATGACCGCGGGGTCGAGAGTCGAGATTCCATCACGCTGACCATTCGGCTACCGCGGTCCACTTACGTTATTATTAAATGCATGTTTGTTTTTTTGTTTTTTTACTCCCTTTTCCCTTGTACCCTTCCCTTGTGTATAGGGAAAAAGAACAATTAAGGGAAATTGCCTGTTCATTAAAATAAACAAAACTGTACCTACATAGTTAATCAGAAAGAAAGGTCCTTTAATCTGCAATAACTGCGTGGCACGTGATCTGCAAAAATACATCACCTAATCGGGAGTTAGGAGAAATAAAGTTATTACGACAAAGATATAGCGAGAAGGGGTTAGAAAGGATGATATTACTGTTAAGAGAATATTGTTATCGGCGGGGAATTTAAAAAAAATTAAGACAAAGACAATTTGGAGGGGAAAAAGAATAATCTTACGGTTAAAACAACAATGTGGCGGGGGTGGCAAAAAATGTTAAGACAAAGGTAATTGCCGGGAGGCAAAGAGGATAATTTCACGGTAAAAACAACAATGAGGTGGGGAAATTCAAAATGTTATAGAAAAGGCGGTCAGTGATGGATACAATACATAAATTATCACGACGAGGTAGTAGATTGATTACGATGAGGTAGTAGAGGTGATGGGACAAAAAGAAAGGTTTTGCAGAAAAATCATCGACTCGTAAGTGATACAAAAATCATCATAACAAAGACAATAGCTAGGAGAGGGGGACCGAAAGTATGATTTTACGGTTAAGACAATTGTATCGTGGGCGGGAAATAAAAAAATATGTATTAGTATAAAGACAATTGTTGAAAAGAAGAAATTAAAAAACAAATATTATCAGGATCGCGTGATTGATTTATTATAAAATTTATTACAAAATCAAATGCGAGGGGGTAGGACAGAAAAGAGATAATAATGCAACTCTGTCGAGTGGTAGGTGAAATAAAAATATCTTGACAAAGACAATTGCGGGCAGGTAAAGATTAAAAAAAAATGATTTCACGGCAAAGACGATTTTATGAGCGTGAAGTGGGTCGAAAGAAAGAATATGACGCCAAGACAATTGCATTTAACGAAGTGACAAAGATATATTTTACAGCCAAAGTTGTTCGTGAGTCAGTTGTTATCGTTGAAATGTTTTTTTATGTTTGTATGTTTAAACATTCTGAAATTATGGATGTCGAAGATAAGGGCGTTATTTACGAGGGATCATTTTAATTAATAAACATCCGTTTTTATTATTAATGTTATTGGAGTTGTTGGTCAAAACACGAAGTCCTGGTCCGCCAGTTCTCGCTGTATTTTCCCAGGTCAGGCACGTTAAAGTGGTTACGAATTTTAAGTATGGTTAATAACTGAAATTTCTCTTTCTCTTTTATGGCAAAGAGGATTTTTTTAAATTTTAGATTGTACTAAAAAAACTTAATTGAGCAAGAATATGGAGGAAATTCTTTTAATTAATTACTGTTTTATGTTACCCTGATTCATTTCACCTTTTTGCTCTCTTCTTAGTCTATAGCAATTAGTTTAACTCGGTTAATTACGTATAATTTTAATTTTAAAAAGTGATATTAAACCAATTTCGTCGTTGAGATCACATTTATGTCTTTTACCATATATAATGTTTACTTCATCATGATATTGAAATTTATATGAAACTCGAAATAAGGCATTTCATGTTTTTTAATAAAATCAAATTGGTTGAAGAGTTCTAAAATAAAGCAAGTAAGCTTTATAGTTTGTCTTTAAAAAAAAATATTTATTGGTAAATGAAAATTATCTTGGGGGGGAATCCTCAGGGAAGATTTTTCTATGGTTTGCCTTGCTTCTTAAAGCAAGAATTTTTTGTTTGTTTAATAATCGAACAGTGTAATTTTGAATTCTAAATGTTTTTTTCGTGTTACAGGACCTGACAGGGCAGAACAGCAATGACAGTTCGAGTGGGGGCCCGGCCCCCGGGACACCCAACTCCCAGGGGATGAGGCCGACCCCTTCTCCGACGGGCTCATCAGGATCCAGGTCTATGTCACCCGCCGTCGGTAAGTCGAATCTTCATTTAACTTGATTCTCGCGGGGGACGCGCGGCGTCCGGGCCGGGGGCAGAGCCCTTTCAAAAGGCTGTCACTCTCCACCTGGCCCGTTTCCCCTTTATCTCCGGAGGACAGGACTCCATTCCCCGACAGGGGAAACCTTTTACCGACTCGGGCAGTCGTGACTGTTCACTTAAAGGACGCCTTTTTTCTTCCCCTCTTTTCAACGGGACGGAATCCCCTGAAAGGTTTTGAACTTTTCTAAGGATTTTTTTTTGTTTAATTTCGCTCCCGGCCTCTTTCGCTGATATTCCCTTGAAACTCTACAACTCTTTAACAGCCTAAAGAAGCCCAAGAGGAGAATTAACTCAACTGCCAGACTGTATTGTACACAAAAGCTTTCATAAGCAACGATTAAAGGTAGATTTACACACATCAGTGACGTGACAGTGCCGTGACGGCCACTGTGACCGTACAGAGCTTTCTATTCCCTGATCAGTATTTCATCCGTGCCTTTCAGATGATTTTGAGTGGCCAAAATGGCAATGTTTTCAGATGATAACTTTTGATTTTCGTACTGATTTCGATAAAGAAAATCAACTACAAGCGAGAAAACGGAAGTACGTCCATCAAGCATGGACCAAGAGAGGGGTAAGAAGGGGAATTTGCTACACTTTACAAACAATTAGTGTACGATGGAGCAAAATTTTGCTTGCTATATAACTTAAGTCTTAAACTTGTTAACATATAAGAAATACGATATACGCATGTATAATTACGTTACTTCCCAAGTGGATTCGAGGAATTAAAGTCGAACACTATCTCTCTTGGGGTTATCAAATGCCCATTTTTTCCTTTTTCCTCCAGAAAGATTCTTGAAGTCTGAGTCCATATATTTTGAATTTGCCTGATCAAAGAACACAAATGATTCGCACTAACTCAACGGGTTTTTCGTCGTTCATGTTTTACGGCCGTGAAAACTAAAATATCGCAACAATCAGACGATCACGGACCGGTGACAACGGCAGCACTGTTTGCACGGCCGCGGTCGCGCTCCGGGCGAATGTGAACAGTCAGTTTCCGAGAAGAATATTTTCAAGCCCACCGGTGAAACAAAATGCCGGTCACGGCACTGTCACGTCACTGATGCGTTTGAATCGACCTTAAGATTTCGCGATACCAAATAGGCCAGTACAAGACAGTTCATATCGTTTTGTGTCATTGCAAGTCAATGTCTCAAAGAGAGCCCACCCGATGAACATAAAAATACCGTCTGCGCACACCTCGATCCTAATCGCGTCCATACGTTGAGCATCTAGATTTTCCACGAGCCCTGTCTGTTTTATATCTTCCAAAGTCCAAATATTGATGACTGGTACTTAAATACGATAATGTGTTTGTGATATTGAACACAGTAAGTCTATAAAAAACGTATTAATGATTGCAAAGAAAGACAAAAGTTTATAAATTCCAGTGGGGATCAGCTGTGGTCGTGAATGAAGGCTTAGGAAGCGAGAAGCGATGATTCAATAATTGAAAATCGCCGTCCGTTCCACATTTAGAAACGGAAATTACTGGGATTAAAATGTATCCTTTTAATTGGATAAGTAGTGGTGTTTTAATGTCTGAATGGGCCTCCGGACTAGGGAAGGGGATACTGGGTAAATGGGCAATGAAAGTGAACATCTTCCGTTACCGGAAGACAGGTTCAGCTTCCCCCTTCCAATTTCGCTCTCGTCTTTTGTCTCATTTCGAAAATATAACCGCCGAGATCTCCGACCGCCCAGCCCATCACTCGCGCTTTCGGGGATTGTGACTTCCTAGAAATTATCCTCGGTCGATATGCAAGTTGTGAGCTGTCAATTTTTTTCTTTTTTTGGGGGTGTTGATTGTATATACTTTTAATTTCCATACCGGCCAGTTTCGTAAATGCGCAATGGTCTTGTATAATATCTTCAAAATAGGCCTGTCTTCTTTCTCACAAGATAGACCCTAAACAAGTTTCCGAGTGCGTGATAGATCAGACTGTTTTAGGTTGATTTGGACGACCTCAGTACATGATGGATTGAGCAATTCTTACACGCATCTATCCTCGGCACTTGGTGTGTACCATAAAATCTTCACGACGTCACGGGTCTGGCCAGATTGAGTGCATGCAGGTTTGGGCAATCTTCATGTATGGCCATTTTATGGTTTGATTTGTTCACGTTCAGTACATGATAGAGCTTGAAAAACTGATGGATCAAACCGATCTTTCTTCCTAGATTGAGCAATGTTGAATCTTGTCCATTCTCGTCACTTGACATGCTAGACAATCTAGCGCGTGATGATTCAAGTGTTTTAACTAGATTTGGGTAGATTAAGTACATGATTGATTGGACAATCTTTAAGCCCATCACTACTTAGGTAAATTGATGGACTAATCCATTTATGGCCAGCTTCAATACATGTTTGTACGTCTTCAGTAGTTGGTGTACCAGACAATCTTCACGGCGTGATGCAACTATAATGGTGATAATTTTCAGTCCATGATGAATTGGGAAAACCTGAAACGTGTCCATTCTCAATACTTGGCGAACTAGACAATCTTCACTAAATTAAGTGCTTGGTGTTTGGGCAGTGTTGAAGCTTGTACTCATCACTACATGGGATACCAAGGCGTGATGGATCTAGTTCTGGTCATTTCAATAAATGGTCGATTGGGCGAAGCTTAAGCGTGCTCATTCTCAATACTTGGCATACTAGACAATCTTCACGGAGTGATGGATCAGGTGTTTTAACCGCTTGATGGAGTGGACAATCTCCTCCACCTCAGTACTTGGTGTACCAGGCGGTCTTCACGTCCTGATAGATTCGCTAGGGGAGGTAATCTTTAGTACGTGATGGATTGGGCAATTGAAATGTTTCCATTCTCAGGTCTATCAGACGGTCTTCACGATGTGATGATGTTTTGCACCCGGAGGACCCCTGACCAGTTTGAGTGTGTCAGTTCTAGCAATTGTTTAAGGCTTTAAGGGTATTTCACCGTGGATATAGATAGACTGATTAGTTTTGTTTTTGAGAATCAGTGTTTCTGGACACGAACAACAAAAAATACAATAGAGATATTCTCGGCCAAAGTGGGAGAAAGTTTATCAAGAATACACCAATAAGCCACATTTGGTTAGTGGTCATAATTAACCATATTAATTATTCTAATGAATAATTCTTTTTATCTGAGGTTTTTGGTTGAGACGAAAAATTAATGTAACGAGCTGGATTCGAACCCACAAACTTCGGCTCGATATGCTGCTCCTCTAATCACTTGAGGCTATCATGACTTCGATCCCCTCGGACACCAACTCAACTTAATCTACAACCATTCGAATTTTATCTGTTTTTGCCATTTTTCAAATTTCAATTCATATGGTCAATTATGACCGCTAAACAATTTTTTAAGGGACTAGCAATTAGTTCCTCGTCTCCTGTGGAAAATAAATGGTTAATATGCCCCGTTTTTCTTCCAGCTATCAACAATAACTTAATCAACGGACTTTCAAGAAAAAACTTCATTAAGTTCGTCCGTTTTGCTGGGACGCAGAAACGTACTGACTCTCAGCAAACGCGCACAACGTAACCACCTTGTTCTTAAGAGAATTTCGGACGTATTCGTCAGAACAAAATTTCGCCAGAATTCGCATCCATAGTAACAATTTATTTTGAGTGCATGATGGTTAGGGATGGATCTATTTTGAGTGCATGATGGATTTGGTAATTTTTGTCGTCATTACATCATTGGATCGGATCTATTTGCAGTTGATAAACCTTTACATTTCTCTTTAATGATTAAGGGAGTTGTTGTTTTGAGAAATAGAGCATTAAACACTCTTATTGCTCTTTTTATCGAATTTATTGTTCATTTCCGTACAAAACTATGAAAGTTTTGAATCTAGTGGAAAGTTTGGTTCTAATTGGTATTTCAGCCCTTAACCCGGCTGATTAATAGAGAACGGCTATGGCAGTTAACTCCTTATTAAACAATTACGGTTTTCGAACGTCCAGAAAGTGAAGAAATATCTGAAGAGAATGGGACTTTCTCCTCTCCCTAAAAGGATTAGCGACAAAAGGACCTCACCCTTTCCCATTCCAGAGTTTTCCTTCTTTCTCGGTAATTACGTCAAGTCCTCCCAATTAAACTTCCACCGCCGTAGACATACCAAAAAAACCGAGGAGTGCACCGATGGATTTTGTATTTCTGCTGAGTCGTCCTCCGATCCTATCTCGACGCAGAACGGCCGTGAACGTCTGGGCCCCCCGTTCAAAAGGGCAGATGAAAGTCGCCGATTATATCGCTGAAGATTTTCTTCCTTTACAACCGGTACGTGGATGACAGAAGTGTTTCCAACTTGTTTAGGAGAGAATATTCAAAATTCAAGATCTTTTGTTCAAAACAGACAAGCTTTACGACTTTGTTGCGAAAAGTAAGGGACTGAATCGCGTTGGGTGGATTTGTATTTTACATTTTCTTTTTAGATGTCAGGGGCAATGAAGAATATCTTCTGTTGTCAGCAATGTAACTTGAAACTACTGCATAAAAAGAACTTAATTTTCCCTTTAACATTGGGTAGTACAGCGATTTGCGATTCCCTTTCGAGATGATGAATGCCCTGACGGGCTGGAAAAGCAAATTGAATCGACTGCTATCACATTTTGAAAGGAATTAGGAAGACATTTGTGTGATAAAATACCCGGGGGGGGGGGGTTGAGTCGATTAGGGCTGGCAAATGCCGGGCATTAACGTTTATTCAGTAATGTTAGGTAGGAAATCGAGGCTGGTGGAAATAAGACGGAGGAGCCTAATGAGAAGACAGTCGTTAAGATCACGTTACGCCTTGCCCCGTCGTCCTCGAGAAGAACATTTGGCCGGAATGGGGGGCTCGTCTGGGCTTCCAACCGCCTCGGAAACTCGAAATTGATCGAAAACAAATCGCCAAGACTGCGAAGTCGGCAATTTTCCTCAAGTCACAATT